GCGAGCGAGCGAGCCGCTCTTCGCCTAGGACGGGAAGCTGCAGATGTGTTTTCTCTCGTGTCTGCCGGTCTAACTAGAAACCTTACCTCATGCAGTTGTTGACAGGTCGGGAGGTTTGGCCTGGGAAGTGCGAAGCAGAGCACTGATTGGCTGGAGAGCGAGGATGTGCCGGGAACGCCAGTCTTTGCCGTTGCGGGAAGAGGCGCAGGCGTGGGCCGGGTATCTGCGCTGCTTGCTCTTGTTTCTTTTTCCCTTTTTAAGAAGCAATCACGGATGTTCTTGATTGGCTAGTGCCCTGGGTTTGCAGGACCGGCCTTGGAGATTGTGTGGTGGTTTGCTTGCCGTCTTCCTTCTCGTCACTTTTTTTCTGTGGAGCGGACGAGCGAAGAGTAAGGCTAAAGCTGGCCCAGCCAGGCCAGGCAGGGCAGGCTCCCCCCACGTTGACAAGGACGTTTCTGATAGATGAGATTCGGGAGCAAGCCATTCTTAATTGCGCTGTGATCTGCGGCATTGTGCAGCGGGCTTTTTTTGCTGCCGCAAACTCTACTTTTTGGGACCACCAGTTTGTGCGAAGGTTTGGCAGAACGTGGCCGGGGACTGTGGAAGAGGACTCCCGAAGTTCACGCGACCAGCCATCAACTTTATGCTCAGTGACGGCTGAAGATGACGGGGCCCGCCTTGGCAGCTTGATACCAAATCCGAAATGGACATGACGGGAGACGCCTGTCTTGTCCTACCGTCATCAAAAGAATTCTCCCCCTCTAACTCTCTCACTCTCCTTGCCTCGGCTTCTGTAATATCACAAATAGAATAGAGAACCACGCCGTCCCAGCCGGCCGGCAAGCGCGAAAGATGCAAGACGCCACGGGCATCTTTGACGTTTAAGTTTTCCGGCGGACCTCTATGCACGCCACGCCGCGTGGTGAAGGTGCCAGAGGCTCCTGTTTAAGCTGCTTCGGGCGTTAGGGTGGCGCTCCTGTGCCTGACTGGCGCCGCGGAGGAGGGACTGTGCGGCGGCATGAGCGCGCGCGCGGCGGGCGTGCAGGAAAGGCGGGAGAGCGGCCGGTGGAGGTTTCCCACAGGTAAGGTACTTTTTTGGTGTTGGTGATCTGCCATGGCTTTTCCCAAGACTTCGGGTCTCCACATCACAGAGAGCGAGCGAGACAGAGACAGAGTGGCTTTTCGCTTTTTTTGCCAGTCCTGAAATCCTTACTTAGCTCGATCTGCTGGCAGGCTGGCAGGGGGCCTGGCGCACTAATAAGCTGCGAGGAAGTTTGAAGGGAGGGTGGATGGGGAAAAGGGCGATCGGGGAGTTCTGGTTGAATCAGTGATGTGTTTGCCCGTTGCGATGTGATCGGCGGGGTCCAGAACGTTCTGATGGGATTGATAGACAGTCACTTAAGATCATCCTTTTTTGGTGTATGTACTTTGTCCACAATTACACGTGTGAGATGACTTGCCCGCCTTGTTAGACCGTTTCGCGATTTTGAGGGCAGGCGGGTTGGGAGATTGGGGGATCTGTCTTGTCTACGTTTCGGAGTATCGGGGCTAGCATTTCAGGATCGAGGGGAGACAGAGAGAGAGTTGAGAGATATGACGCCCCTGGGCCGGGCTGCGACGGCGCGGGTGGTCCTGTCACGAAGTTTGGCGCCATCCCCCTTGGTGCTTTTTGGACAAGGCTGGCTTCGGGGGGTTTTGGGGTGATGTGATGGCGGATGGGTACAGTATGGGCTGAGGGAGGGAGCTCTGTCTGTCTGTCTCTCTTCATTCGGAAGGGGAAAAAAGAGACAGGTCAAGGTTGAAAGACAGCGGCATCGTCAGCACGGGCGACGGAGGATAAGCGACTCCTGGGAGGGAGCGATGTGTGAGATGGGTGGGCATCTCGCTTTTTTGGCAGGGAGACCTGACACCGGGGCATTGTGTTTTTTGTGGTCGTGTCGATGTGGATAAGGAGGAGATGTGAAATGTTTTATGTTCTTTGCACGGGTGTTCATTCGATGTTGAGTCGTGACAGTTTTCTGGCCGACGTTGGGTTTGGGCGTTTACGATTCAGTTTGCGAGGTGGTTGCTGCTGCTCCCTTTCCCGCTGTCAAAACGAAGCGTCAATCATGGCCACGGCGCGCGCGCCCCAAGCTTTGTTTCAGTTGAGTTCGTGTCTTTTGGAATCGGGGCCGACCCCAGAATTGAGGCGAAGTTCGAGTTGCATCTACAGTTTCCTCGTCTTCTCTGGCGTGAGATGGTCGAGATGGGTCGACTTTGTGTGAATTTGAGACTGCGAGAGGGGTAGGTGCCCTTTCTTAAGCGTCCGAAAAGAGAAAGTGGGATCCGTCGCCCGTGGAGTTCTTGAGCTTGTGTCGTTCTGAGCCTTGACGATGCGACGTGCAAGGAGGGGTCGCGGTCCCTTTTTCGCTCCTTTGGCTCGAACCCCGTGGCAGGAGGAGGACGAAGAGGGAAGAATATGGGGATGGAAGGGGGGGGGGGGGTTTTCTCGCGTAGATGTTATAGGGTTCCCAAACGTTGTAAAGTCTGGGTTCCAGAGGCATTGGAAACTTGGAAAACGGGGCTCGTTTGGTTTAAGTGTTTCCTCTTTTCCCCGAGTTGCCGTAAATCGTCAGTCGGCCCAAGAGTCAAGACGGTAGACCAAGCAAAAAAGAGAGGGTCCGTCCGGTCGGTTTGGGCAGAGGTTGCCGTGTAAGGTTCCCGTGCCTCGTATCGGATGACGGGCGGGCGGTTCGGTTGTCAGGTTGGGACGCACGAACTCTATTCGCCGACTTTGCTGGTGCTTGAGATGTGAGTGTGTGTGTGTGTGTGTGTGTCTGTCCATGTGGTTACGCTGTGCTGGTTGGTTGCAACGGGCCGTGAGTCGGGGCGACGTGCCATTTGCAGTTCTAAAATCAATATTGGACGGAACATTGATTACGGCAATGCGGCCTCTGGCGAGAGGGAGGGAGGTGTGTCACTACCGAACCGTGACCGTAACCATACCTTACCGTGAATCATTCAATACGTCTGGTCCAATTTGCAATTGGGCAAACCGGCTTACATGCACTGGCCATGCATCATCCTTAGTGAGGGAAATCATATCACACAGGATGACGGCCGGGGAGACAGGGACAAAATTCGACACTGAAATGATGACTGATGGGATTTTTCTTCTTCTTTTTTGTGCAAGCCAGACTGATGACAGAAATGCTCTCTTCTCTCAAGGGTCAGGTGGCGAAGGTTTGTGTTCGTAAGAGTGAGTGCCGGGAGGTGGAGAGTGCTCAATTCCCGCAACGCAGATGATTGGAGACCCTGGGGAGTCGGCACGCGAGATCATGAAATGGCGCGCCAAATGTCCACCTGGAGAAGCCACGAGCGTACAAACTGGCAGGTCAGCGCGGGTTTTGCAGCGATGAAGCCGGTAGAGGCTGCGGGCAATATGCAGGCTGCAATATGGCTTACTTTCTGGGCATTTGATGCATTCCATGGGTGAGAAGGTTACTTAGTATGCACAGTCCAGCAGACGGAAGGAAAGCGTCCAGGGCCACCGTCCAAGTCCAGGCTTTCCCTCCTCATTGAAGAGGTGGAAGAGGTGGAAGAGGCGGCCAGGGGTGTCGGGGGAATCAAGGGATCCACTCCACACACTGAGGTCTCCTCGCAGGCGCCACCAATCAGGTCGCTTGGCCGCCCCTGCCCTCACGTTTCGCCAACAGGTTCACCCCTGCGCGCCCAATCTCTCGTGCCTGTGTCCCGCAGATTTCGCCCTTTGCACTCGCAGCCTCTGCAGGCCCTCCTTCCCCCTTTCAGCTCTCGCTCCGCCAGCCCGCACCACCCTACGAACGCCGCACCACCCAACACCCACCCACCACCTGCACCCGCACCCTCCATCCACTCTGGCTCTGGCCTTGGTCCTGTCCTGTCCTGAGTCCCGTCCTGACCAACCTGCCCTGGACTGGACCACCACCACCACCACCGTCCTGACTGCCATGCACCTGCACCTGCACCTGCACACACACTCCCGTCTCTTCTGCTGAACACTGACCTGAGTCTCGCGGGAAACACACACACACTCTCAGGTCACTCGCTGACCGAGCTCCCACCCCCCGTTCGTCTCTCATTCTCTCGCTTGCTTCGCCCCCCTCCGATCCGTCCACCCATCCATCCACTCCACCCATTTCCCCCCCAGGCCCAGCCAGCCCACCGTGCCATCCAACACCCTTCCCAGTCCAGTCCAGCCAGCCCAGCGACGCTTACGCTCTGCCTCTCTTGGTCTGCTCACTTTCGTTTCTTTCATCAACCTTTCGTTCCTCCACCCAACATCTCCAGGTTTTTCTGGCTTCGGTTCTGGTTCCGCTCTCAATCTTCAACCACCTCAGCCGCCGCCCGCCGAGTCCCCAATACGTACGATTTCCGACCGACGACAAAAGGAGATTCACGCCCCCCGGTTCGCAGTCGTCGTCCTCGTTCTCGACTTTCGGCCGACAACCAACAACCGCCGTTGATGTCTTTCACTTCCATCGCCTAGGCGCCCTTTACCACAACCACCTCAAATGTCGAGCTAGTCTCCCAGTCCTCTCGTTATCCAACTACCTACTCTCGCTCATCCAAACGTCTTCCTCTCTCGCTCTCTTCCTCTCAATCGTCGGCCGCTCTATTCCCCGAATACCTCGCAGATCCGCCCGTCCATTCCAGTCTGGACCACGCACCAACCACGATTACGCCAGCCCTCCTGCGCAATCCATTCCTCAACGTGCAATCCGATCACCTACGAGTGTCTCACCCAAGCCGACGTTTATTTCTTTCCATTAGCCCATATATCTGTCACATTTCCCTCCGAAATTCGCCTTTTGTTTTCGGTACCGACTTGCGGTCCCTTCGATTCGTCTGTGTCACCAACCCCGACAAGTGATCGACACATTTACATCCAACGGCCTCGCCTTGCAGATCGACATCGCTAGATCAGCGTTGTCGACCACCTCTTCCCTCCCATTCACCCATCAGCCAGATCGACAACCATCATGGCTCAATTCGACCCAAACCTTCACCTTCGGTCGCTCGAGGAGCTCCACGCTGGTATGTTATTGAACAGTCCAATGCCATCAGGCCTTGCTAACAGTCCGCCGCAGTCATCCTTCCTAGACAGAACGGCTGCCTCAAGTGCGAGGACAAGGCCCCTTCCTGCCCTACCAACTGCAAAAGCGACGAGTATTGCTCATTCACCATTCCGACATGTAGCCAGTGTGCCCAGGCAATCTGCGTCAAGGACGACAGCAGCACAACGACAAAGTCAAGCAGCGGCCCGAACACAGGCGCCATCGTCGGCGGTGTCATCGGTGGCTTAGCATTCATCGCAATTGCCACCTACCTGGTATGGAGGTTCTTCATCAAGACTAAGCGCCAGTCCATTATCCAAGAATCGTACATCGAGGACGTCCACGAGAAGACCATCAACGAGAAGCTCGAGCCGCCTCGCGCAACCAACCGCGACTCAACACACACCGTCCACTCGATTGCGTCCACAGTACTGACTCGAGCTTCCAACATAATCCAAATCGCCTACATTCCCGGCGTTACGAACCGAGCGACGCCCACTTCTCCGACTCTCCTCGTCCCTCCCGTGCCACCTATCCCGATGCACGCATCGAACTCCGCCGCCAGCAGCCCATCCTTCCACGAGGAGCCTCACTTCTTCGTCCCCGGCGAACTGCGCGACTCTACCTACTCTGGCATCTCCGGCTACTCTGACCGAACCTCCGTTGCGAGGACCTCGTACGCTCCCCGTTCCAGCATCGCTCCCAGTATTGCGTCGACCATCTACGGCAAGAACGCTGTTGTCGTGGCACCCGCTCAGACAGGCATGCGCGCCAAGGCTGCTGTAGTCAGTGTCAAGTCTTTGGGTGTGGGCACGAGCGGCAGCAGCACTCCTCCTGTTCCTAGCGTCGACTACGAAAAGTACAACGGCCGCCCCAGAAGCCGTGACAGCACCTTCAGCGTCGGATCTACCTTCCTGAACAACGCAACCACCGCGGCCGCAGCCCCCGTCCAGAGAGTACAGGTTGTCCGCGTCGGAAGCGGCAACGGGCCCAAGCAAGTCAGCGTCGGCTCCAAGGCATCATCATCAGACCTGTCTGTGCCTGGCACTCCTCCACCACCGACCTCCGCCGGTCGCGACTCAACTGCCGTGACAGTTATCGAGGAGGTGGAGAGCCCGACAGGAGCCGAGGGCCCCTTCTCCGACCCCCCTGAGCAACCCAAGTCCGCCCGCAGCAACCACAGCCTCAGTGCAGTCATTGAGGAGGCGACAAGGCGGGCTGCCGCAGGCCCCGACAGACGGTCAGCAAGGACAAGCTCGTACGAGCGGGGTCGCAGTCCCTTTGGCGATGAACACGCCACCAAGGACAACTAAATAACTCAAAAAACTACAAAAGCCATATGAACGGGCGTCGGCCCTGATCACGATTTACTTAACACTATTTCATTTGCTCATATATCAGGGATGACTTCCCACGTTTCTTTCTCGTATCTACCTTTTTTGTAGACGACCCGGTTGGAACAAGCCTACGGGACCAGACCGAGGGACGACTTTGGATGGACAGGACTCTTACGGACAAGGCACTGGCGTCGTGGATATTTTGAAGATTTTACTTGCCAGGGAGGAAATTATTTGAATGATGCGTAGAGGTGTACGTCTGCACATTACGCCTTTACCTATGTGTCTACTGAATAGAGATGAGATACTCCATCCATTACACTTTTTTCTCTACCTGAGCCACTATTGAACATGCAACTGCTTGTGATGATCCATGTGAAATGCCCCTTTGTGGAATGTCTTTGCACGTCATTACTCGTGCGGGACGAGAGGCGCAGGCAGACTAGGGGGCACGTCGTCAGCGTACGGGTAAGTCGGCGCTGCCGCGTGTGCGTGTCACGTGGCCCGGGAGCATCGCAATGGAAGTGCGGGACGATCGGAATGTTTTGCGTGTTTTTGTGTGGTTGTTGTGGGTGCGGGAATGAAGATCTGGGTATCTTTGACATGTCGATTAGTATTTGCAAAAGGCGATGAGAAGCGAGCAAAATGTGATTGAAGGATGAATGTGCAAAGAGGATAGAGGTGCCGGTTGGAACCAGATGGGCCAAGAATGCAAAAACAAATTTTCCGAAACCGAGAATCGAACTCGGGGCTATGCCTAACCTCTCACTTGGATGAGAGGGCATCATGTTGGCCACTACACCATATCGGATTCATGAAAGTGCGGGCGAAAAAGATGACTATGTAGCTCTGCGAATGGGGCTTGCTGAGGTGCGCGTGCGCTCGGGCGTTGGCCCCTGGGGTTGGGGATTTGGTGCGTGGGGGCCCCTGAGGACCGTGGACTTTGAGATCTCCAGGTATATCAAGGCTGTGTTTCTTGGTCGCTAGGCTTTTGAGGAACTGCAAATGGCATTGGAGTTCGGGAATAGTTTCCCCTACGAGGAAATGTAGGCTTTAAGACTGAATGGCCTTTCGGTCTGCTGGGAAGGATGTGGGAAGAGTGCGGGATGCATTTCTGCCCTGTCCGGGTGCGAGTATGGTGCTGAATAGTTGGGAGGGGAAGACGGCGGGGGACGATGGCGGTTCGGTATGTTTTGAGATGCTATGATGTATGAAATGCAGGTCTGGCTGGGAGCAAGTGGTAGACGAACAATCTTTTTCATTTCCTTGTCGGGACCAGACCAGGACCTCGTATTGTTTTGGCTTCTTTTGGCCTTCTTCTGTGCTGCGCTCGATTTTATATCGTGTTGAGAACTGGCGGCTGAGGGGGTGAGGTTGTATGTTGTGATAGGGTGAGATGGCTGTATAAATGTGTGCTGTTGCTCCCTTTCTTTCAGGGAACCACGGAGCAGGCAATGCGGGACAGATAGAGGGCGGTTTACTTCTACAGTTTGGTGCGAGAGGGATTATGGCGATGATTTACTGCCAAGGTGAACGTGTGACTGACTGTCGCGAGGATCTTGCTTCATGAATACGGGGCAGGATATACGAGGGGTGATGGACGAGAGGGTTTTCAGAGCGTCGGGTGCTGATGGAAAGTTTTGGCCGCATTGTTTTGAGATATGGTGACTGGGATGCCGTCTGCGATGGTGTACGGTTCTTGAAACCAATTGCCCAAAAGAGCAAGTAAATTGCCTGGCTTGAAATTCATTCATCAGCGCGTTAGCCCGTCGTTTTATGTATTCGGGGATTGCTGATCGAGAACTTGTCGAAAGGGGCGCTCGCATGATCTGCTCGTCTATAAATAAGACGTGTTTGGCGTTTGGGATAGCCGCTCTTCAATTAGCCCGGTCAGCGTCGCGTTCGTATACAGATTGTGAACACCTTGAGACCCCTTTCAAATGCATCTTCCTATAATAAGAGAGTTGAGTTGTATGTGTTCTAGTCTTCGGGAATCGGCTTTTCGGGGCTCTCGCGTCGGGTGTGTATTCGTGGCGAATGAGCAAAGGTTTAGTGAGTGGTGAGTACTAGGGGAAAGAATTGATCAAGACGGGGATTGATCTCTGAGCAGGGCTATAACTGTGTGTGTCTTGATTGCTTTCGCATAGATCCTGCCCTTTGAAGGGTATTCCAGATTGCTCTCTGCCAGGGTGAAACAGTAGGCGAGAGATGGCATGGTTATATGGTAGAACTGATAGATGAGAAGATATTGTTGGACTTGTTTGAGAAGTCATGATTGGAACTAGCTTTGGGTGGGAGCAGTGGTCATCAGTCTCGTAGGATAGTCTTGGTAGCTCATTCTGCCGTGTATTTGGCACAGCGTGTACTTGTATTGCAGGAGGTCAATTTCAGACACGCCGCTCATCTGTGTGAGTGATTGACGTGTCGGGATAGTTGGAATCGCCATGAGCCTCAGCAGTTCGCTCACAAGCAACAGTGCCAACGATGATAAGTTGTCAGATGTCTGTGAAAGACGATGCTGTGTGTATGAGCAACACGCTGTCGGTCTCGGTCCCTGGCCGAGACATATACATGCCTGCCAAAATTGTGAAAATACTCCCAGGAAGCCAGGAAAGTTGTATTTTCAAGAGGAGAAGTTTGGGAATATACTGCCCATCTGAAATGACTCTTCACGAAGTGGTCAGATGGATCTTCAAACCAGCAACGTCATTGCGGCCTCGGTCCCGTGAAGATATGAGCTACTCATGATTTTATACCCTTTTGTCCAGACATGCCTCTAATGGTGAAATTCTGAAGAAATTTGTGACCCATCAGCTTGGAAACACGTTGCTGTCGTAGACGTCTGAGTAGAATTTAAAGGGGCGGATCTCGTGTCGAGCTGATGACTCTGCAGCAGTTCAAGATCTGCATCACTTTAGGTCAGGTCGACTGACTATTCTGAAACTAATAGCCTCGGCAAGTTCAAAGTGCTTTTAGCTACTGACAGGACACAAGCAGGAAATCCCGTTTGAACTGCGGTAGGAATACTCGATCAGGAATGAGGGAGAATGAGGGAGGATGAAGGACGGGACTCTAGAAGGACATGCGGCGTTTCACGGTTTGACATATTCACTGGAGCCTTTCGTCAAGGTATGCTGTTATCACGATTACAGGTTCGGCCTCGCAGTTGTGTCGGTGAATATCTCGTAGAGCTCCTTTGCATTGCTTACAGTGTGGAGAAATAGCGCGACATCAGTTTTATATCCAATGGATGTCTTCGAGACGAGCAGCGAAGTTCCGGGACCGAGTACAAGAGGGAATGGAAAACCGAAGACCCCGAACATGAAAGCACCACGCAAATGGGACAGCTCTATGTCCGTAATTCTACTTCTCTTCAACTGTGATTTCTTGAGATTGGCGTACGTATCAATGTGCGTCACATGCTGACGGTTGGGGAGGCGTATGATTGCAAACGACGACAAGAAAGTGCGAGAATACTCAGACTATGGCGACCAACAACGACAGTGATCGTGGAACAAGCATAGGACATCAATGTCGTGTTGGAAGCGGGGTCTTCTTGATCTCACCAAGGCTGGCGTTGTGTATATCGAAAACTTTCCCTCTCTCCAGACGCCATTCGGCTTGGCGGAGGCCGATTAGCTTATGACATGGCACGAGATACTTATGTTTAACAGGATTAAAGACACATCCACTTCGGAGTTGGACCTCAAGCCTGTATAACAGAGTATTTTAATGGAACATTGCTCATTACAGAGCGTCGCAGCAAGAGGACAAATGGACTGGACAGGAAATCGACGTCGTTAATAACGGAAACACGACAACGTTGGGTATGAACAAGAGAGGTGAATTTCCCCTGTAAGTCTCCGACTTGAGACGCCGGCATTCCTTCTTTCTGACTGTGAAGAATCAGCAGAGGTATATCAGGCAAACAAGGATGAGGTCGGCTAGAGACTCTTCGATAGCAAAGAGTCCTGACGTGGCAGCATACAAGATGAAGTAGTGCATCGGCTTGCTTCCTCATCCAATAAATAAAGAAGTTGTTGATTTCAGCCCGCCGCATTATGTCCAGTACGTTTCATATGCCGCCACCTTGATGCCTTTTAACTCACGACTCAAGGAGGCTAGGATTGAAGCAGGGACTAGATGCGGTTCGTTAAGCTCGCTGGCTCCCAGGGGCTGTGAGAGAGATGGATCAAATGAAGGTGCTTTGGGATCTATGAGCCATATTTAAGGATGTTTCAATGATGAGATTGTTGTCCCGTAAGGCTAAGGTATGTCAAGGTCGTCCGACGCGTCCCAGCGGCTGTTGAGATGGGCAAGCTGCGGACTTTGAGAACCTACCCGCCGGTACTTGATGAGAGACCGAATACGTGGACAGTGAAAGACAACATCGGAACCAGAAGTCTGCAGTTTATACTGCCCCCGCGCGTTCAACCCCGCAATCGACGGGACCGATCGGACCGCTTAGCTGATGTATGCTTGACGAAGGATATCCCGCTTGGTCCGCAAATCAGGCAGGCCTTGAGAGTTGCAGTGCCTCATTTGTATATAGGCTAGAATACCCGAGAGAAGATTGAAATGACGGGCCTTGGAACCGGAATGGCTGATGGTGTGCTACAGAAATTTCGTCTTAAGGGAATGTTTTCGTCTTAAGGGAATGTGTGATCGCATGAGCAACTGACGTGTTGGGGCTGGGGCCGCTCTTCGCCTCCTATTGGAACTGTGGTTGCAAACCCTGATTTTGCCCCTGATTCTTTGTGTCTGCGCATATCTCAAGTTATATTTATATCACATGTGGTTTATGCCAGATGTGTGTTTCCACGTCGTCTCTGAGTCCAGGGTCAAGAGTGACGCGAAGGTGATATGATTGTTGTATATATCAGACGAGCTACACAACAACTAGTTCTCCAGGACAATATAGCTCTTGCTCTATCCTTTCCGCAGAAGACCATCCACCACAAAGGGTTGAGTGCGCC